TTCAAAATTCCGAAGCCTTGTTACAAGATTTGGAAACAGTTTAAAGACGATTAATCTAATTGGTAATCGAGGCAATAGCACAGATTTCTACGAACTTCTGAAATCTTTCGAATAAACTCTGAAACGAGATAATCATTTTAAATAAATAAATGTGGTATGCATATTAAAGCCGAGAATTTAATAGAAATATTCTATGCTTGGGTCGTTTTAATATTACGAAAATGGAGGACAGGAATTTCTCTATTTGCAGACAGGATCACGTTTTGCTGACCGCATTAGTTTGTTAATGAAATGCTGTTAGGGAAATTCGTGGTTGTGTCGAACTCCCTTTACTTGATTGAATTGATCCAACACAACAGATTGCATGGTTCCTTCGAATGGATTCTTGGTCCCGTGCGTCGCCGACTTTCCGGACGAATTCTTGGTATTCATGAGGGTGCATGGTGCCAAGAAAACCATGAATATAATGGTAAATTTTTAACATTAAATTTCAGCATATTGTTTCTTAAATTCTTAGACTATCTACCAATGCAAATTCGCTAAACTGTAAGATCTTCAGAGAATCTTTTTCAACTTGTCAACTTTGCTAGGAGTTTCTATTCGTACTCGTTCTCGCGTCGCGAACAATTAAAAGTTTATTTTCACTGCGTCTTGTCCGGTGCTTTAATGATCAAGAGATCCTAATTAAAAGTTTGAACTCTCGCATCTGAATGTCTGAATTTTTCAATTATCTCTTTTTTAAATTATCATTTCACCTGCAGACTCGGGTATCTTGAAATCGCTTATTTGTAAAATTTTCAAGGGGAACGAACGGAATGGAGGCGATAACGAGCGGGGAATGGAAAGGAAATTAACACGCATTGAAACAAGCAACAAGTAAACCCTTTTATTCCTCGAAACGACTACGAAGGAAACGTTACCTTCAGTGCGTATTTTATTCCGAGACAATCAAGTCGGGGTCGTTTAAGCACTCCCGCCGTGGAGAAGATTGCAAAATGGGACGCGGCCGGTCACCCGGATTCTCGAGTGCAATCCAAAGCGTTCCGGACGACTTCTAATTAGAACGGCTCATCTATCTGTCTCCGGAGAGAGATCCGCGCCGAAATTTTCCTCGCGAAATTGAACGAATAAGAGAACGAAATGAAAGGCGTAGAAAGAGGGGGGCAGGGAGAACAGTGAATCATTCCATGAGCATAAATTAGCAGACCGTCGCAACGCCGGTTAATTAATTAAGGTAAATTGTCCTAAGCGTAAGTAACTGCTGGCGCCTAGGTCACCACCCTTTCACCAGGATAACCAAGACTCTTCAGGATGTCTGGAGACGATTTTCAAGAAGACTGGTATCTTCTTCGCGGTTTGCTCTTGGGTATTATTCTTCAGGAACAATAGATATAGGTATCCTTTGTAAATTTCAAGACAACAATGCTAATTAGTTGAATAAACGTTAAATCCAGAGGCTGTTGAAAATCTAAACAGGCGCAGAACGAGAGGATAAAATTTACGCGATTACGATTCTCCGAAACAGACGTTTGCTTAATTGAACCTGGATCGCTAGATTCGATTCCCTGTGCAAACCTATGGAAATCCACGTGACGATCCACGAAATTATACCGGCGATTTAACGCGACAACCTCTAATTATCTGGTTTCATTCAAAGCGGCGATTCGCTCGCGTTCGAAATTATCCTTTAACGTTCGCTCCGTGAACGAGCACGCGTTACGCGACACAGGGTAAACATTACAATTAAACGACGCCGAAACTCTCCCCCTATTTGTTTGTCGCGTTAATTTGTGCGACGATGGTGTGTTTCGTGTTTTATTTTACAAAAAGAAGAGAAGAAAGCAGCAGACAGGAAAAAGAAATTGAACAAGATAGAACGTTTAATTCCATGGTAAATTTTATTTCTCCTTTCGTGTGATTTTAGGTTCCCTTGGTGCCATTATGAAACCCTTACAATGATTTTACGATTTTTGAAACGATTCCTTTCAAGAGTCGAGATTTTTATATTTCTCCTCGATAAAGAATTTTCACCGAGTTGTAAAAGAAAAAAATGAATCGAGGAAAGCATTATGGAAATCGAGTCGCGGATATTTGAATTACGACCGCGGGTGATATTTCGGAAGTGTTATTAATACGCGACACTTCGCGAAAGTTTTGGTACGCGGTTTTAAACTTGCACGAATTTCCCCGCATTAAATTTAATACGAGGAAGTTTTCGTAGGAGCGGAGTTGCCGGAGAAAAATGGGAAGGTAACTTTTTTTCAACCGCCAACTAATTTCCCTAAACTGACACGGATAAGAGTTCGTAAAACGTATCGACGCGAGTTGTTACATTATTTACGTATAAATGTAGTTTGCGGGGCTGTTTAGAATACACCACCAACGGGTGGGTGATATTGTTTTTTTTATTTTCTTTGCCCTTTCTGAATTTTAAGCACCGCGACCACCGCGCGACACCGAACTTCCAGCAGGAATTATTTAACTTTTAAATTTATTAATTTACATTCCCTGCCTTGCCCGGTGTTCATACTTCTCCCGGAGATGAAACGAAATTAAATGAAACCGTTGTCCGAGAATAGCTGGTACTTGCAAAACGAAAGTACAACTTTTCTTTAACTCTTTCGTTACAGCCATTTTACCTGGAAAACGTTCCTCCACGTTTATATATTAAATTCAACGCGTTAACGTAATTAAAATAATTTTATTCATGAAACTTTGGTTAACTTTGGTTAACTTTGGATACTTTTTACGTCTGACAATTTTAATAGGAAAAGAGTTAGGGATCGTTTTGAAATTATCGTTGCAACTCAAACACTGCAAATATTGGGAAACGCGAAACGTTTCATTTGTTTATATTTTTCAAAGGAATCCTGTGTCAAAAACCCCAATCGTGTGATTGTTTATGCAGCTAGCTGCGTGCCCTGCTTTAGCTCAATGTCCTCGTTTGAGAACGGCGAAACCATCTTTAGAACTGTTTATGATGCTGAAACCAGATGGTCAGTTCATAGATTCATAATCCTTATTTTTGATATTGAAAATGAAATGATAAACAGCTGTTCCTATTTCTTAACGAAGACATAAATTTAATTTTACCATGGTATTAAAAACAAAGCAAGTTGAAATAACCCAAAGAAAGAAAAAAGTGAGCATATTGCCAGGAGCTTAGCTATGATACAGAGACAGGGAGAATAAGAAACGAAAGACAGTTTTTGATCAGGTGAGGTTTCAATTTAATTAAAACCACGCCGAGTCTAACCGTGATTACTCCAGTTTAATTCGATTTCTATCTTTTAATTCCCCTCCGTGATACAAAGAAACGGTCAAATTGGATCGCTCGAATCCGCGGGGTGCGAGGGGAAATGAAAAAAAAAAAATTACGGTTCGTGTTCCCTCTGACACAGATTTAACGGAAGTGCTTATGCAGCCAGGCACATTCGAAATCGTCGGAGCTGAGCAATGGATCCGTGTTGGTTCGCCAGTGTGCGGGGTCTTTTACGGCAGCACGTGCGTGTCATAAAGCGGCTGTTTCCTCGGAAAAAACATGGAAACGAAGACGGGCACGTTGTCTTATTTCGAGAATAAATTCACCCCTGATGCCTGTCACTCGTGACTTCATTTTTCAATTTCTTATAAAAATTCGAAGGACAGACAAGTTTCGCTTCATCGACTACCCTTATTTAGGAAGAATTAATCCTTCAAATAGAAAATTTTATATTTTAGAATAAATTTACCGTTCTATTTTCCAAATTTTTAATTATTCTTTTTGAAAGATCTTGAATTGATTTCTGTCCAAAGATACCAAAGAATCGTGTCTCTGATAGAATCATCCGATTCGAGTTCTTTAGCCCGCTGTTGACACGGCTGTTTCCAAAACAAAATCTATTTTCAAGAGAAACAGTTGCCTGGTTTTGTTTTGCATTGTTCGAATCCGGAGCTGTTCCGAACTTTCCGATCGACGAGCCGGAGCTCGTTAACGCGTTTCCGATCGAATCGAACGGATCGAGCACAGCGTCGATTAAAATTCTCTACATTAATTATCCAGGGTTAGATTGGAATGCGAAACGCAGTTAATTGACGGCGAATGGAATTCCGATGATACGGTGCGGATTGCAGGCGCCCGGCGATCAAATCGATCCAGTGAAAAATATGGAAACGTATCGCGCAGACATTGAAGGTTTAATCAGTTAATTTTGCGAAAAATGATATTTAAATGCCATTTATATAAAATACCACTTTTATTGCTCCAAATACAACAGTCACACTAGATTCTTTTTTATTTTCACTCTTCCATTGCCATTATGTAAATGGATACAGGTTTCTTAGAGGAAACAAACATTCTAAAATTGACTCGTCACTAAAGACACGGCAATTTAAGTGGAATTCGAAAGAAATGGAGTTGGCGACGCTTAGACGGCCATCCTATGAGATTTGTGAGGAAACTTCGGTAAAATTCAGTTTACGACTAGGCCTGATGATCGTACCGTGATTTATACGATTCATTTCCCTCGTAAAATCATCAGAATTCAAGTCCTGAAATAAATGCACGAAACTTTCCTTCGTTATCATCGAAAGAACCCTCGAGCACCTTCTCGTTTCATTTTCCTCTATGAAACTGTTAAACAAATTTCGTTAGCACCGAAAAATGGAAAATATCCCGCTATTCATGAAGAACATAAAACCCCAACAAACGTGGGAAAAACATTGAAACATCCGTGTTGTTTGCTCGCCAGGTAGCTCTGATCAACGGAATAAAGTTAATAAAAGCGTGTATTGAATAGCGGGAAACGTTACACATGTCGAAGCGGCAAAAATCATATTCCAGATTATTTTCAAAGAATTTTGCTTATCTAACCATTGAAATTTCGTTCGTTGTTCCATATTGAACCGCGCTCGTACAATATTTCGAAACAATCGATGTTTCTCATACTCGAAACGGTGTTAGAGAAAGGTGGTCGTAGAAGTAGGCAGAAAATAGAAGAAAGTAAGGATCGAATACCAACCAGCAAAGATCGTGACAGGCAGCAAGGCACAGATGCCCAAATACACCAGCAACACTGTCCAACCGTGACGCGGTTCTTGGCAGAAGTCCAGCTTTTTCCCGCTCGCTGAACCACCGATTCTTGGCCCCTTCATCGTGCTTGGTGCCGCATACTTTTCGCTCTGCCCACGTAAACGCGAACCTAGCCGCCGGTTTAAAGGCCCGTTGCTTTAATAATGCCTCCTCGAGCGGCTTCCTTCCTTCCTTTCTTCCGTTTCGCGGTCTGTTCGCGTGCAACGCGGAATTTCGTAAGGATTTAGTAACACTGCAACACTTGGACACTAACATTCCACTCCGTGTGAGTTACACACGCGTTGAAATCCCACCCGCGAATTTAGAACGCTTTGGAACTCTTCTAGAAAATTTTACACGCGTTCGAAGTCCACTCGCGAATTTAGTACGCTTTGGAACTCTTTTAGGAAATTTTACACGCGTTCAAAGTCCACTCGCGAATTTAGTAACTCTTTTAGCAAGTTTTACACGCGTCGGAAGTCCACCCGCGAAATTAGCGCTCGTTGAAAGTCCACTCGCGAAATAAGTACCCCTTATAAGTCCTCTCGCGAGTTCCACGCTCCTTCGCCATGGACAGCGCTTACCCAAACGCACTCTTAGCACTTTATCCTACCCTCGACACACTCGACCAATCCTTTCTTCGCGGCACAAGTTCACAAGGTTTATTCGCGACAGTGAAATGGCCGACGATAAGAGATACACCAAGAGGTCTGATAAGAACTTGCATCTATCTACTGGCCGTTTGCTGGTGTCTGAAGTTTTTACTATGGCTTCGTGCGAAGGAGGAACGAGCGATAAGAGCTCATTTACCTAAGGACCAGCGTTCGAGCAAAAGCTGTTGAATATAAGCCATACAATTCAGCAACTTCCTTTGCGGAGGTTCCTTTAAAACGACGCGTCACCGCTTCCGGGGTAATAGTTTCTGACTGCATTTTTATCTTTTAATAAAGTGCCAGGTTTAAGCCAAGGTGCGTCCCGACGAAATCGAGGGTCGATACCAGCGACGGCTTCTGAAAAATGGAAGTCATTAAGGGAATTGCTACGACACGGCACGGTCGTTTAAACGAGCACTCTTTTTTTTTTCGCTTTTGACGATGATGGGGACACACGGTGGCCGAACAACACGGTTTAATAGAAAATACGAGGAAGGTCGTTTGAATTTAATACGTGACGATTATTGCGAAGTTAATTGAAACTAAACGTTCGTCCGTTCGTTCGTGGAAATTAAACAATAACACCGTGAGAATAAACCAGTCGCGGATTTTCATACGACCCCGTTGTCGATGATTTGTTTGGAAAGCATTCGCCGTGAAATTCATCGTCGTGTTTGGGAAAGATGAGTTTTACTCTTACGTCAAATTGAAAACGTATCGACCCACGTGTTGGAACAAAAAAATGTATACCCTTGAGATTTTAGTGAACGAAGTTAATTCACGTTCGTTTATCTACGTCCTAATAAATGAACTCGTCGATCAAACTACCCGCAGCGAAGCTACTTTTCTTTAATAAAAATGTAACCATGTCGGTATTGACTTTGAACGCGCCTGTTGAGGCGGAGATGAGATACCCATAAATTAATCCTTTCGTCTCAGCTGGAGATCTTATGCATTTATCGTAGCCAACTGGGCGAACTCGTTGGAAACACGGTTTACCGGTGGATCAACTTGGACTAATTCGAATTAAAACGGATCCAAGTAGGTAATTACATCGTCTTAATTAATTCTTTGGACTGGAGACGGACGACAAGCGGAGGGACTCCAACCCCTTCTCGTTGCAACTCGAACACGAGGGCGACGACTTGTCACGTCGAAAGTGGAATTATTCGCCAACCATCGTCGCACGGCGAACCGTTTCTTCGAGGCTAGACGTTAAATTGCTCGTGCAGAATGTTCCATGGGGTTGTGATGGTTTTGCAAGCGGTTGCCACGGGGTTCAAAGTAGCCCTCGAATAAGGGTAACGCGACGAGCACAGAACGAAACGATCGAACGTGCGATCGTTTGATTCCACGGTTCTTTGGCTAAGAAACGTTTCCTATTCGTGGAAATAAAATAATTTTTGACACCGTAAAATAGGAAAACGAGAAAGAAAATTTTTATAATTTTCACCCATAGATACTCTGTTAGGAAAATTAAGGTGAATCTTTGATTCATTTTCAGCAGTTAAAATTGAAATTAATTTCCAAGTATTAAAACACAATTTTAAGAAAATTAGAATTGCAAATATATTTCTCTTGCAATTAGTGTAAAAAATTCACCCCATTTTTCAGTACTCTGAAATGGAACCCGAACGGAATCGTCATTCGTAAATTATTGCTCTGTTTATAATGCGTCGTGGAATCGAAGAACTATTCGATCGTGGAAGATATGTAGGAAAGTTTCCCTTGTTTTTGGTTGGAACACGTCGAATCGGTAAAAATTGCCGGTGAAGGAATTTGAAGTTTCGTGGATCGAGTGAAAAACCCTGTAGCTAAAGTGTCGCCACGGTGGCGCGATTTTTCGTCCAAGTTTCTATAAATACGGTCGTTCGTCACTCATCGAAGCGTGCTCGACCTGGAACACGATAAATCATCATCGCAATAGTCGAGCGAAAAATTCGGATATTTTGGAGAATTTCGAATGAACGTGTCGGAAATCGGTTCACCTTCATTTGTTTCTTGTTCGAAGATATTGATAAAACGACTGAAAAAATAGACAATAGAAATTTATTTTTTTAAAAACAGCACAATGGTAGTTTGTTTAGAGGTATAAAGCATCGCGAGACATCGGTGGATCAATTTTTAAAGCACACCTTGAAGCCGACGACGAAGGGTCGTCTCCAAGAACAATGACAACGCTGATGCGAGCCAGCCAGTCGCAAATTATCCCTGCAAGGTATTATTAATTAATGGGCTTGTTAAGTGGCGTCGCGTGGGGCACCAAGTGGTACGCGAAGTTGGACACCCTGGAAAAGGGCGTGAAACACAAACGAAATTCCTTTTCAAGAAACAATATTCTCTCACAGAATATTCTAAAATACTAAAACTTAGAATTTTCTGTACATTTTTTAATCTGATAAACTTTCGCGCCGAAGGTAACACGATAACCCAGAAACGTGGCAATTTGAAAGGAAGCTACAGGCAAGAGATAAAATTCCTTGAAGGGTTAACGCAATTTGAAAAAGAGGATTCCCTTAGTCTCTGTCGACGGTGACAGGGTTGCATTTTAAATGTACCACTCGGTGGTTGAAGATATCCGAAGGGTGGAAGAAATTACGCGTTGCTCAGGTGAACGTAAACCTTCAGGAAACGTAAATCGCATTTGCGTGCGGGAGGATCGTGGATGTCGTTCGCTTGTATCCTATCGCGTAAACGTGTAACGCGCTACGACCTTCCTGGGAATAACGAAATTTTCAGCAGTCGTCAAATTAAAATTCAAACGCTTAGACGTCATCGTGCATGCTCCTATGCTTTTCACCTGGGACGTTGAAAAAAATTCCAACCAGAGATTAATGCCTCGACAGACTGGGTATCGTTAAATTTTTATCCGATCTCTTGCTCGCGGACCTCCTGAATTTCGTGAAATTCATTAACGACAGTGAAATTTTCAAATGAAACAGTGAAGATTTTCTGCGAATGTCTTCGGGTTAATATTCAGAACGGAAATTATACGAGCTGTTTAATGAGCGTACGAGAAAAACGAGTAGAAAAATCAACGTCTGAGGGTTAAACGAGCGGTCCTTTTGAAATTAGAATAAATCTGCTTCCGGTGAAAAAGAGTGCCGGGGAGGAGAGCAGCCTCGTGTTCGCGGAATGACATTCGTTCGAACGAGCTCTCGTCAGGAGCTGTCAAATCTAGCGAAATCTTCCTTCTATTTATAGCGAATTCCGGTTGACTGTGGTCGTGCAAGCTCGCCTGCATCGTTCTGCATTAACTCTCTCGTTTCTTGCTAGCTACTCATCTCGCTTCAGCCCCGTCTTTCGAGTGGAACGAGTGCAAAACCCTTCTGTCCGGGCGTACACATAATTACCAAAGTTAATTAGGGCTTTGGAGATGAAAGAGAGTGAGAACGAGGGGGATAGCATTGCGGCCAGGTTTAAGGATGTATTAGCAAACGAAAGGGGGTGGGGCGACGGTGTTAAAAGGTTGGGAAACTCTCGAAACCGAGCGAAAAAGCAAAAGGGTTACCCTTGATTTGAGGTCGGTGTAATTTTCACGGTAAATGTAATTCTCATAAAACGAAATATTTGTCCTCGAAATTTATCAAATTAAGCGGAAATTAACAGGGTGCCGAATGTGGCAGTTTTTACCCGACGAAAAATATTCGATTTTCCAATTTTACCAAAGCAACCGCAAATGGAAACGTTAAAAGGAAAGAATTTCTGGCTAACGTTTACAGGGAAAACAGCGTGGAAATTATTGGAACGTGGAAGAAATAGCATCGTGCCCGTTGCACTTGGTGTCATTCGTCGGTAATTCTGCTTTGGAAAAACAAGGGTAGGCGGTCGAACGTTCGTCGAACCGTGCAAATTTCACTTTTACCCGGGGCCGTGCAATTTTTTATTTCGAACCGGTGTTTCCGGACGAATGCGTTTCGACGCGAACCTGTTTGCACAAAGAACCACTGCTGCACCGTTGCAGCAACACCCCACCATCGTCAATTTTATCCCTGACACTCTCTACCCCCGTTTCACCGGCTCGTGGACCAGATCGTCACCCCTGTACCCTTCCGACCCCTTCTCATCCCTATCAGCTCTTGAGTGCAATTGGTTTTTCGTGTTCAGGCCACTTCGGTGTCCTCGGAATCCTAATTTCGCGTTTTTCATTCCGCGTCCCCGTTTCTCTCTCGTCGATGTCCCGTGGAAAGCAGCCCCCTAGTCCGACAGACCGGAAGCCCCTCTCGTGCGCGCGATATCTGATGGATGTCGCGATTTTTTTTTTTTTTTTAGAAAGAAAATGACCAAGTGAAATGGAAACGTTCTGCTGCCGGTATCGTGAGCTTATATTCAATTAAATTCAGGGTTCAATTACGATAAGAATGACAACTGACATAAGCTTACTTTTTCAATTATGAAACCACGAGGAAAGAAACTTCAATTATCAATTACACTCGATTAAAACACCAAAAAATTATCGATTCGTCGATCAAAGGTTCACATAAAAATAAAAAATAAAAAATCACAAATTCAATCGCACTCATCGATCACCGTCACCGTTAATCAGTCTCAACTTCGAGTTACTCGATTTAGAACGCGTCGAATCGCGAGGATCGATCGAGAAACGATCGAAAGAAGCTCCCGGAGACGCGTGGTACCGGCATGGGCGTGTAAGAAGCACTAAATCCTGATGCCCTGTCCGCGGCTAGCCGGCCCCTCTAACAATAAACTTAGGTGAGAGACGAGAGACGAGCACACGCAGACAGAGAGCGTAGAAAACCGCACGCGTGACAAAGCGTACGCCCGGCGTGCGTGCGTGAGCCACACTAGCGGAACGAGGATCATCCACTCGAGCTCTACACGGTGTACAACACGGGATGGATCACGTCTGTGGGAGTGTCTGCAACCACCGTCGTGTGGAAGAAGCCGTACGCTGATCATCTGCACTCGTTTATTGAGCATTAAGCGTGGCTCGGTCGACCTGCTGAAAGCGATCCGCTTCCTCGCCTCCGCACACGGCTTTTCGACGTCCTTCCGTTGCTACTTTTTCGGGGAAGTACCTGAAACCCTTGGGAATCTATGGGAAATTAAATTCACGCAGGATGGTGATGGGAAAAAAAATTTCAGACTCATGAGGCAAGGGTGTTCTGTTTAAAAAATTCGTAAAATTTGTCGACCCTAAAATTTCCGAGGATAAAAATAATAATTCCTGTTCAATTTTCGTGATTCACTACAAAGTGACGTGTATAACATTACTATGGGTACAAACGTGAAATTAGACTGACGATTGACATAGAACCCATTTATAGTACGCCCACGCAGCCGCCACGTACCATACAAAACCTCCGAAAATACAACAGCGTACCGCGTCCCAAAGCGTTTGTTCCTACGCGACGAAATACCAGCGTCCCGTGTCGTTTGCTTTTCAATCTCAGATTCCTAAATGATAAAGAATCTCCTTTATTTTTCGTCCTCATCCCTTGAGAACCCAGGAGTACAAATAATGATATGAAATTCCATGAATTAAAATAACCCATTTTGGCTATGATTCTCAAAATTTTCAGAGCGGGCCTGGAATTTCACGTACATCTTCGCATTCCGTACACGCGATCGTAGTCATGGACAAGGGTGTTCATGTTGGATTACACGGTCCAAACGCGATACCAGACGAGTCTGCTTGTCGAGCAGGAAAGAATGAAAAGGGTGCGCAAGGAGGGACGTTCGAACACGTGTACGAAACGTACGTGTGAACGCGCGGGGGTGGGCTGCGACGAGATATTATGCGGATAAAATATTCATGGCTATCGAGGCTCGCGATCGGGCACGCCTTTATTTTTCGAGATGAATAGAAATGGTGCCACCTCCTGTCGAGCCGTGGGACAGAAATTCTTTCACCCACCACGACAGAGAAAGAGACAAGAGGAGAGAAGATGGCCAGAGAATCGGTTAGCTGTTCTGGACACCGCTTGGCAAGTAATACCGATAAAGAACAATAAAGAACATATATTTTTTTTTATTTTTCCAAATTTTCAAAATTGCAGCTTTTACCTTGCGTTTATTAAGAAACATCCTAGTTATCTTTTGTTTCATTCAGACGATTGTTAGTGGTGCAACTTGTGTAGTTCATTATTAACGATGCGAGCATTAATTATTAATTTAAAACTTTCATTACAGTATTGCGTGGAGTTATCCAAGGAATTTCGAAACGGTGCTTCCCAGGGGGAAATATCGGAAACGCAGTTGGTCGGAACTGGTTCATTGTAACTTTGGGCAGGGAAAAACAAGCTTGCTCGATAATGGTAGGCTAGGTTTCCAGGAAGTTTCGTTGGTTACGAGGACGTTAATTAGGTGCAGAGATTACCGGTGGCACTGTTCTCCGTGCAATATCAAAAACGGAAACGGTACACCCTTGATATCTCGACGATTTCTTGCCTTTGTTAACACCGTTACCGATTGCCTGGACAGCCTATCAGAAAATCGAGCCAGCTTTCGAGGTTTCCACGAAGAAACTGCTCTCGTTATCGTTAACCCTCTGTTTCACGGTTCAAACTTTAACTAACAAGGTGGCAATAATCACAGTTCAGAGAATGCAATTCCAATTGAAATTCCCTCTGTTTAAACTTTACCATTTATTCGTCTTTATTATCGTAGCAACGCTTGTGTGGTTTAATTAACACTAATTTTTTTAATTAAATAAATATTGTTCGCTTAATAGTTACTAAACAGAAAATATGTAATTTTCTCATCGCACGATATTTGCTTGATGAGTGATTGATCAATTTCGTGTGTTATTTACTTTGTTAAAAGCATTTGCAAACGTTCAATAAAATAAGAGTGAGGATTTCATGCAAAAAATTATGATTCAAATAAAACAACTCTTTTTCATTTTTTCGCATTTACAATGGGTGTATTGTTGATTCAACATTTTTAATTCGCATATTTTTCCACCCGTTTCATGCTGTCCAAATAACAAAATATCCGATTCTGATGCATATTCCTGTTTGAAATATTACGAAAAATAAAAACGACATTGCCTTAAATGAACAGCAATAATGAAAGTTGAAGTTTAAATTTTTAATTTGGAAGCTAAGGAAATAGCAGGATTAAACGAGAGGATAAAAGAATGTTTTAAACTTGAAGTTTTCATGAAATGATTAGCCTGGTTTAATGATATTCCATTGAATTTAATTGGCGTTTTTGTGCGTTATTCCCGGCCCCGTCAAAACGATTCCCTAAGATTTGATTAAAATCCCGATTCGCGTGGGTGGAAATTAACTTGGTCGTGGAATATAAGTTTGCCGAATTAATTATCAACGGCTTGGAACTCGTTACGGAACTATTGAAATTTTCTGCGAAATACAACTTCCATACTTTCCCGGCGCAATAATCCTTTCGCGCTTGAAATTGAATTGAGTGCAGTTGTTTCGAAAAATCCCTGAATTTTGTTCGAACGAACGATCCTCGACAAACTTTACGTTCGGTTGAACGTTTACACGCCGAAGATTTGTTTTATTTAAACAAACAGAAGACAGATAAAAATTCAATCAATCCTGATGGCGGTCACACGTTCGCCATGGACGGCAAATTAAATTCAATTAATTTCTTCCAAGTTAGTTACGCGGTCGAGCCAAAAATTGCGGCCACTGCGAGCTCTGTAATTAAGTCGTCTGCTACCCGGAAATAATTGGCTGTATAATTGACTAGCGGACAGGGGTGTGTAAATAATTGCCTCATGGCTTTGCTCAAGGAGAAAGTAAATAATTCCGCAGCCCCATGAGCGAAAACAAAGAATCGTAGAAGCAATTAAAACCCAATATTCGATCAATCGTTCGCGTTTCGTAGAAATAATTTTAGTCTTTTACCGAACCTACATCAATCGACTGAATAAAAATTTTCTATCCCTTCAGTTTAATAAAATTTAACTCGTTATCTCGTCAACGCTGGTGAAAATTGATCCAGTGTTGGCTAAACAAAGGTTCCAAGTATAATCCATGAATTTCATGATACGAAAATAGCTCGGGGGAAGAATAGACAGACTACTGCATGTCGATTCACCGTGAGATAACGCGAAAATGAAAAACGACAGAGGGAACATAGGAGGGCTATTATGTCTGCCATGGAACGTACGTCTTGGTGAATTCTATTCGCAGCCTTTGCTCAGATAATATCGCGTACGCCAGTCTGTGCGTTAATCACGTAATGGTAGGTGGCACTTGAACCCGAGAGAAAGCGTCTACAATTTGCAGGTCGACGGTGTAATAATGGAGATAGTCCGTGGTAGAACGGGGTAGGAAGTTCAGTTGCTCTCCCTGCACGGTAGTACTTCCTTTCTCCTTCTTCCTATATCTCTCTTCCACCCTGTGTCTACCCTACTTCTATTTATAATCCTTTCTCTTTAAAAGCGCACAAGTGCGAAACGGTCTCGCGTGACTCCAAATTAGCCTCGTTATCACGATATAATTAGTTTAGTAGCTGGGAACCGGCCCGAAATTCGATGTTACTCGATGTACTAATATCTCAACGACACTTTTGGCTATTTATCTTCTCCTCGATTCGGTGGGTAGACAAATGAATTTCATTTTTCAATACTTAACAAAATACAAAAGAATTAAATTTCAAAATTGCCTATTTTGAAAAAGAACGAGCAAACTTGGAGAGAAACTTTTTAAACCGTAGAATTTCAATTAGCAGCATTGAAAATCAACGAAATACTCTCCTTCCCTGATCTCCCTCTAAATTACACGAACAGTGGCTGCAGGAGGGGGTTGCACTCGAATCACCCTCGAGGCCGAAACGGGCAATGACAAGGCACAGCCTCGGCTGGAGTGAGGAAATTCAACGTTTCCTGGGAAATCCAGCAACAACTCGGTCGGGAATCGTTCGGTCAAAGGGTTAAGACCCGGTGGTGTCCTCTCTCTCTCTCTCTCTCGTGCAACGAACGTGTGATAATGATTATAGCGTAGCGGGGTGGTCGCGTTAAACAGAGGCTGACTTGGAGGCAGTGGACCGGCCGGTGTAATCCTTTGATTACAGCGTGTACCGAGAGTCGGCTGAATCACGAGGAAGCGCGTAAGGTGATATTCCTGAATGGTACGGCCGGAAACCGAAACCGGGCCGCATAAAGGAGGATATACAACGAACGTGGCGAACCGGTTGCCTTCGTACTCACGTTATAGCGATGCAACGACGAGCTGATGCAGGATACACTGGAACGAACCAGCATAGCGCATCCGGTGTACTCTGGTAATGAAATACAGTAACATTATATCCGCGATATTCATCCGCGTCGCAGTGTGCGGTTTGCCGTTACAGAAACGTGTGTACGGTTCGTCACACGGGGAAATACTTGTCCAAGGATATCGCATGGCGTCTGGATTAATCAGGGCTCAAGGGAAGCCTCGGTACGATGACGGCTCCGCGAAGGGAGGAAATTAAGACAGAGAGGAAAGGAGGATTTCGTGGTCGGTTCAGGACCACCCAGGCGGGACAATTTCTCCCACGTTTGAAAAATCCCCGAGCAATATCCGGGTATTAAAAATTTTTCAAAAACCACGATTTAGTATAGTCGCTGAAATTCCAGCGACTCGTAATTGCACGCGACGATGGAATGAAAATTTCGAGCATCCATTTTTCGGTGTTTCTTCGCGTCTTCTACGCCGCAGAGAACGGTTTAATAATTTTAAATTGGAAAAGTTGTTGCACTCCCATTCTTTTTCCTGGTTATTGTTCGGCTGAGGGAACGAGTGTCTTTTTATTTCGTCGGGCTCAGCAGTGAAACCTAGTACCGCTTTCAAACAATATCCACTTGCACGCGA